TGAGAAAAAGAAGTTTTAAAGTCAAAATTGCATGTTTATTTATCAAAGATGTCATTGAATGCGACGAAATTTGTACACAAGAAAGAAAAATCCTCCTTGTAGTGGCCACTGCCATTAAAATCGGCCTAGCTGCTCGTAGCCCATGCCTACAGAGTGCGCCGCCACAACAGCTTTCACGTTGACAGCGTAGCTATCGCGCGAGCTCCCGCTGTCGTATGTTCTCCTCGCGGTCAGTCCGTCACCCGCCACGCTCACGCTGGCCTCCCCGCCTGAAGCTACTCGCCGCGAAGTATATGTCGCCGAAAGAATAGTCTCGGGGCACTCACTGTTTGGGCAGTGAAGTTCGACGAACGACGCAAGTCCTTTCCGCTTGTCGGCCAGTTCCCGGACACGTAATCCCAAATGGCGACACGTCGGACACATTGCACCGCGCACAACAAGCATGTTCAGTGCTGTCACATCAGCAATCAACGAAGACTCGTCGTCCTGTGATTTTTCTTAGTCTTCGAAGAGTCCGATCTTTTTCTGGGAGGCACTCACATATTCGAATGCTGCGGCAAACTCGTCGGGCGCATCGGCGTCATTGCCACTACGTTTTGCGGCAGCAGACGATCTTTTCGTGGTTTGAGTGTTCGGCTTTGATTTGCGCCGGCGTCCTCGAAATTTGTCGCCGCGTGAAACTTCACAGGCCGGTGACCGCGCTTCCTACGGCTTTCTTCATCCATAACGAATAAGCACTCGAGAAAAGCGTTGTTCAGCTGTGCTGCTCGACGAGACACGGATCCTGCAAGTAGGCTTCACAGCACACACAGGCGCGCAGCGGCCAATGGCGGCTCCCGATCCGTACCACGTGATTTAAAAGCCAGTCGCGGCGCTCGAAAAAGGCGGCAAAAGCGCGCTTCTCTTTATTATTTCTTGCATTGCAGCAGCGCGGGAAACCGTCGCTATTTGAAGAGTGAGGCTCGGTTCTTCGCCTCATGCGGTCGACAATGGCGAGCAGCGGCGCATTATCAGCGGCAAGGTGCTCGAAGATGACACACTTTCGGCCTTTTGACAGCCACCTTGTGCTCTTCAGACGCAATTTTAAAGCATTTCCAGTTGATTCTCGACATAGATTTTTTTTTTTCAGAATAGTAGAGGTACTAATCTTAACAAAACAGGTGAAAACAAAAAATCGATAATTTTTTAGAAAATTCTCGTTTTTCGACCCGCATCTCCCCTTAAGGCGCTAAAACAAGGGCACAGCTTTACTCATGAGTAGGCGACGGATAACAAGCTTGAATTTTTTATATTCTTTTCACAATTAAGAAAAACCATGCCTGTTGAATGTATCACCCTCGTGTGCAAAAATAATTCTGTCCAAAGGAAGAATGGAAGAAAATTTCATTCTGCCCAAAGGAAGAATGTGAAGAGAGCGATAGCAACTTATAGCTTGTGAATGGCTCTAAATAGGTCCTGCTCTCATGCACTCAAGGAAAGCTTTGAACTTCAGGTTTCTAGACTTGTTTCCATGGGTTTTCCTACATTACATTGATCTGTGTGCAAGGCTTTAATCAAAAAAGTTAGGCATGATGTCAGTGGTGCTTCTCCAGTGAATGACAAAAATAAGCGTCCCATCGTTAATTTCCAACATTCACAAGATATCTCATTCTTCAAAGAATGTTGCTTCTAGACATAACGTACCAGTAATGTTTTCGGCTCCGAAAAAGCTCTTTTGTGTTTATGCTCAAGTGTCATCAACTAGAACTGGTATAGCGCATTACGGGGAAGAAGAAACGGCCGAGCAGATTGACACAAGAGGACAGAGCGCTAACTTCCAACTGAGCTTTATTGTCAAATTGCATCAAATAAGTAGACCGGCGCAAGCATACAAAACCACCCTAACGCAACGACAAGATAACACACAACATCACACCGTCACATGTCACACATTCATAGGCGGTTACTTTGATTAAGGAAGGCCACTTCATGTTCAGATAAACCCAAAGAAGGGGCGCTAATACACGTGCTGCCAGCTCTTGCTATACAATGCGCTTCTATAATTTCCCGAGTTAATTGCGACGGGTGCTTTTTTATCACTTCACACTGGTCAAACATGGGGGTACATCCACAATCGCGACAGTGAATTCCAATGTGGCCCTGGATTGCTTTGTGAGCATTATAATGGTGCTCTTTTAGCCTTTCATTAAGGCATCGCCCCGTTTGGCCGAAATACCACATACCACATGAGAATGGAATCGCGTAAACAACCCCCACTACACACGGCACAAACCGAGTTTTGTGCTTAGTTGCGCAACCAGTGGTGTGTGATTTGAGAGGGTTGACAGCTTTGCAAAGCCGCTGTAACTTATCCGGCGCTGAAAACACCACTTTGACGCTGCATTTCTCCCCTATCTTTTTTTTTCAAGTACGACGAACCAACCCGCCCAATCTTCAACACTCGTGGTCATCAACTAAGAGTCCCGAGTGAAAGAAAGAACACACGAAGAAAAGGCGTTTATGAAATGCTCAACTGGTGTTGTTTCCATCGAGCTGCGGTTGGATCTACATCGACCAGACTGGCCGGTGTATTAATGACCAACCAGGAGAGCCTGTCCCGTCCGTCTTCTCCATCCAACACCGCATGCGAAGAGAGAGAGGAAAAAAAAAAAGACAGCTGTCGCTGTGTTGAATGAATGTGTGGTTGAAGGAAAGAGAAAAGGCACTATCTTCTGCAGCCCTTGCCCCTTGCAGGAGCACGGCTCTGCGCCTTGAGGGGGAGGGGGGGTTCTCTCAGGTGCCGGTGCCAGGCTTACCCCTTTCCTGTTCCTTCCACCTAACCCTTCTCTTTTCAACGATACGCGTGAAGAGAGCAAAAAAAAAAAGCTGCCGTGGAGTGTTGGTTTTCTTTCAAATGCCGATCTGCTTCTCTCGGCATGTAGACGCTCCTCCTTTCCAGTCACATGCTGGCCATGCTGCGGCTGCGTAGCACAGAGGCTCCGCTACGCAGTTATTGTTGTCATCTTTAGAAAGTGTCGACGCTGGACATTTCCGCGCCCAACTTCTCTTACCAAGAGACTGCTGAAGCCCAAGTGAAAATGCTTTGCAAGCTGCGTGCGAAATCGATTGACTTGCTGGAGACAAACATGTGCAAACGTGCATCACCAATTACTTCAATTAATAACGGATGTCCTGTGATTTGTGAATAAATGCAAGTCTTCTGAAATTTCCCCCTCGTGCGTTAGCTCAATGCACATGCGCCACTGCATGGAGAACCCTCCGCTCATTTAGCTTCCATTAATTCGCACTTATTTTATTTTCAACAAATTTTTGGGCCCCTTCGAGTTTGAATTATCAAGATTCGACTGTAGTAATTCAGTCCGTAATTCTGAAGCTTTATATTTGTTAAATACAAATCTGATGGCCTTTCTTTGGATTTGTTCGAGTTTATCAATGTTATGTGTAGTGTACGGTAACCATGCAATGTTAATTTATTCAAGAACTAATCAAATAAGTTTTGTATGCTAAAAGCTTGATGTCAGGTGGCGCAAGACGAAGGTGTCTTCAGGGGAAGAAGAGCTTTTTTAAGGCAGTTGATGTAATGGTGCTAATGTGGGAGTCCCATCTAAGATCGTGTGTAACTAATAAACCGAGATAGTTGTGCTTTTGAACCCGACTTATCTGTATGTTATTTGCGACGTATGCGAACTCAGATATGCGTTCTTTTCTAGTGATTGTTAGGGCAGCCGATTTATTAACGTTAAGGGTCATTTGCCAGTCAGTACACCATTTAAAAACTGAGCCTAGGACTTCATTTAATGTTATGTGATCCTCGAATGAGTTAATTTCTTGATAAGGTATACAATCGTCACCAAACAATCTAATTTTAACACCTAAGTTAGATGGTAGATCATTGATAACAATTAGGAAAAGAACTAGAGCCAGTACGCATTCCTGAGGTACTCCAGATGTAACGCATGAAAGAGTGGATGACTGATGGTGAATTCTTACAAACTGCAAACGGTAGGTAAGATAATCTTGTACCCAGGTGAAGATGGGTCCGTTGCCCAGAGTTGATTCAATTTTAGTCACGAGTTTACTACTTGAGACCCGACCAAAAGCTCTTGAAAAATCTAGTAAAAAAAGGTGCATTTGTTTTCGGCTATCGACGCTCAGCAATTTGTCATTGATTAGCTCAACAAGCTGGGTTACAGTGTGTAGACCTTTTGGAAGCCGTGTTGATAAGGTGAAAGAAAGCTTTCTCCTTCAAGGTATATAATTATGCTTTTATTCACTGTGTGTTCAAGGAGTTTACTGACTGAGCTGGTTAGAGAGATGGGCTTGTAATTAGAGACTTCAGCTTTGTCACTGAACTTGCGTACTGGAATGAATTTCGTGACTTTCCAGTCTTGTGGTAATCTACAGGTTGATAATGATTTATTAAAAATTAAGCACAGGTATTTGGCTAACCATTCGGCATATCTCTTAGGAATATATTGGGTATATTGTCTGGCCCCCATTTCCTTTTTAGTGCCGATATTGAGTAATAGTCTAAACAAACCAGGTTCAGTTACAACAGGTGTTTCTAAGCGTGTTCGGTTGCATGAGTTAACATGTGAAATGTTTCCATCATTCGTGTTTCCCCCACAAACACTGTTTGCAACACTTGGCGCAGACCACACTGCAAACACTGCTAAGTTTGAGAAGCTTTACAACTTTAAGGTCAGTTTGTTAAAATTGCATGCAGGATGCAGATAAGTCCAGTTTATTAGAGAGCTTACATGGCCACCAACGACAATACTGCAATTTTAATAGCAAATGTATAAAAGCTGACCACTGATCAGTTTTCTCGACAGCCGGCGCTCTGTTTGCTACTACTATCAATGTACACTCTGTACTGTTCTAGCTTAAGTTAGAGTTTCTCAGGCACAGGTTCACCCAAATAAACAAATATGCCCTGAGTACTGCCTTCATCACTGTCACGACAACAGAAACAAGGATGGGACCATGAAGCCACACACCGACAAGCTGGCGGATGCGTTGCATCTCCTCCCGCTTGCGCTTCTGCCGTGCGGCCCGATTTTGCTTCTCGATCCAGCGACGCTCTTCACGACTGCAGAAGAAGGAGTGCCCACATCAAAGCTGTCATTAAAATGTGAACTACTCAAAACTTAGAGAAACAGATGCAAGGGAATGGATAATCGTTAAAACATGGAGCTTGCCCATAAATGAAGATATATAGTATATCTGTTCCGAGCTGTCATTCCGATAAAATGAACTTTTTTATAATAATCACAATAACACTTCACAATAATGTCAGTGCAAATTGTGCCTTTTAGTGTTTTATAAACTTCATGTCTGCCTACAAAAATCTCATATTCCCTTCAGAATTTTTGGGAATGAAGCTTCGATAGCCAAGTGTTTAACATTTTTCTGAGAATATTAGCACATACAAATACCGCTCATTTTCATGAATAACTGCAATACATCATAAAGCCAAGTTTGCTGCGTTGTCTTTCGCCCTCAAAAAGTGATCAATACTTGAAAAAAAGAAGAACGTACAGAGAAGACAAGTGTAGTGCAATAATGTTCCTTCGTTCTGCCTTTCAGCAATTTTTCTTTCTTTTTTTCCCAAGTGACACGTGTGAAGTGGGCCCACAGCAAACCCTTCTTTACATGAATAACATTGCAGGCACAGGTTCATTGAGTCATTCTGTGAGCAGAGCTATAAACTGGGGAAGCAGACGAAGTTTACCTGCATAACTAACTTGCATGAACGAAAGAAGAAATCTCACACTGCATTTTGGATTTAGCAATGACAACACACTCCAAACGTGCACTTTGGTAGCCTGTGAGAGACATACACGAAGCAGGAGCATAGAAGAGTCATCCTTGCTCGATATTTGTGAACGCATTGTCCAAGCTGAGTATTCATCTCTGCCTGCAAGCACAGTTAGTAATGCATGAGCAGGGTTACACTATCAAACTTACCAGTGCCCGTGTGTCTGATTGGCTTGTTGTAAGCAATAATTGATGATACTGAACAAAGCTGCTCTGCAACACTAATTAGCTTTTTTTTATCAATTCTGAACTAGCATGTCATTATTAAAAGCTTAATAAACATTACTAAGTCTTTACTTTTGTCAACATATGGCCACACAATCTACTTCACAAGCCTTTTTTTTTTCCTTCCACAGCCTCCTAGGTTAAGCTATATTCACATGATGTACACGATCACAAACGAATCAGACATGTGACGTGATTTGGATCGCTGACATGTGACATGATTCAAACCAGTTTCAACACAAGAGGAGAGAATTCACACTACGAGAAAGGACTTTGCCGTTTATCCCCGAAGATCCCAACTGCTCTTGGGGCCTTCATCCTTATGCAAATCACTCTGCGTGGACCAAGGTAGGACAGTGTGAACGGGTCATGTATGGTGATGTACACAATCTGTGGGCCGGCGTCCTTTGAGAGGGCACTTAAAGATGTGATGAAGCTAAATATTATCATAGACATGCATGTGTGGTTTATGGCACAAGTGCACCGGTATAGTATTGCCACACAACCTGGCTGAAAGCTCTACAGGAACCTCAATAAAGGAGCAAAACAAGCACTCGAATGCACATGAGGGGCTCCTGCTTGCCAGTACCACAAGATCTGCAAAGGGTGTGTTAGACCCGTTGAACCCCTTTATAAGAGACATGCTCTGGGGAACAATTTTCGTTTTTCATACGGGTTGTCTCTTACGAGCAGGCTACCACATATTAGCCTTGTGCGAATATTCGAAAGAATAGTACAGTATTCAAATTCAATTCGTTTCGAATTTAAAATATTGAAAATTTCCAAGTGGTTGCAATAAATGAATAAATGTGCATTAGTCCGCATGTAACTGCCTGTAAAAATGGTTTCACTGCAGTGTAGGGATGCTAAGCCATGAAAGCACCTACCCAAAAATTTTCATTCTGCCGTGAAGCCCCACTAAAAATAGGGGCTCTGCAACTTTTTGAGCCTGGTCAGAAAATGCTGCCAATCGGTAGTCGAGGCTGCCGAGAACACGTGAGTCAAATATTATAGTATAGCATACGGCCTGGAGTGGACAGTAAATTCTCAAAGTCGGTGAAGCTCAAAAATCACTCATCACAGCCATTGGCTGACTTGAGCTTGGCACGCTCGCTGGGGCTGCGGCGAGAGGCCACGACTTGTCTACGCTTACGTGCGCGATCACACTGAAAATATGCGTAATTGAAGAAAAAAAAATAGGAGAGAGAAAAAGTGCTCAAGGTCACAAGGTATGTGTGATGGATTTTCTTTCGCCATGCTATTCCTCCCTGTATAGCTTCCAGTGTTTTCGTTCAGACAAGACAAGAAAAAATGCAATGCGGTGACGTGGAAACAAACCCTTGCCCCACCCAGAAGAACTATATGAAGAAGTGCTCAACGGCCAAGCGAAAATTCACGATGAAGTGCTTGAACTAAAGAAACAGTTCATTGAATTGAAAAATATGGTACATGATTTCATTACAGCACAAAAGGATTCCCAAGAACGCAGCATTCCCAGTGAAAAGGTGGGAAATATGTTACAATCACTGGAACATATTGTAAACTTTCAAAAACAAAAAGCTTACCAACCTCGAAGACCGTTTCGGACGGTCGAATTTGATTATTCACGGTATTCCCGAGTGCCCTAATGAAACTGATGCAACCCTGAGGGAAAAAGTGGTTAAGGAATTATTCACAGAAAAGTTTGGTGTGTGATTCCATCGGACGTATACACCGACTAGGAAAACAAACTGGTAAAAGGCCTATCATCCTCCACGTTCAAAATTTTAATGAAAAGAAAGTAATATTAGAAAATGCCAAAAAACTGAAAGGATCGACGGTATCTATTTAGAATGATTATTCGCAGTCGACACTTAAGAAACGAAAAATGCTGTGGGACAGTGCTAAGAACAAAAAGCGACAAGGAAAAAAAGTATTTTTAGTACATGACAGGCTTATAGTAGATAAAGATACATTTTATTGGGATGAATTGCAAAACTGGCGAGTAAAAGCAGGATACCGTCAATCTTCCAAGCCGCACTCGTGACCTATTCCAGCACTATGTAACAAACAGTTAAGGCTACTGAATATTAATACCCGAAGCATTGTGAATAAAACTGAAGCGTTCGAAGTGCTTCTGCTGCAACATGATCCACATATTACAGTTGTTACCGAGACTTGGCTACACGAACATTTGCCTAATGACGACGTCTTCCCCCCATCCTATACAGTTTTTTGTAAAGACAGACCCGCTAGGGGAGGAGGGGTGGCTAGATTGGTAAAACAGTGTATCGATGCTGTTTTGTTGGATGATCTTGTTGACATAGAATGCTTATGTATTAGGGCTACATGCTGGAGTCATTGTCTCGTTGTAATTGGGTTGTACAGACCCCCAGACATTACTCCAGAATACCTTAGCACACAGAAAAATTATACGGCCAAATTTGAGAGTAAAAAGGTCTTACTGATTGATGACCTGAACCTACCTGAAGTAGACTGGGAGCGTCTTGACGCCGGCCTTAACACTTCAAAACATGTTAACATAATGTTTGACACCATGCTTATACATGACCTATTGCAGGTAGTTCAGGTACCTACGCGCGTACAGAGGGATTCCACCTCAATATTAGATCTTGTGTTTCTGAACCGCAATTTCTCCGAATATACAATAGAGGTAGGACAAGGTCTTTCTGATCATAGCTATATCTTCACTTCCTTTCCTCTTGTTCCACTAACTGGCCATAAAAACCCGGTATTTCGCTGCTTTAAAGACTTTTCCAGGGCTAATGATGCAGACATAATTGAACACCTAGAAACATGTCTTACAAATTTTGATGACGTAAATGTTAGCGTGCTTTGAACACGATTCAAACAAATGTATCTTTTTTTTTTTTAGATAATTTTGTGCCTTCCAAGCACAAAAAAATTCACAAACAAACGCCATGGATAAATCGCAACATCATTCATATGAAGCGCAAAGTTAAGTGACTGAAAAAAAGCGGGCAACGGCTGATTTGATACATTATGCGCACAACAGTCTCGCTCAAGCTGTCCGCAGCTCTAGGGAGTATTACTTTAAAACCTCATTACCTAACTTTATTGCAAATGACCCCAGTAAATTCTGGAGTTTTATGAGTGAAAAGAAAAGACCTGTATCTCAAATATTAATTGATGGAACACACGTCACCGATCAGAGAGACATTGCCCGGCATTTCAATCAATATTTCCAGAGTGTGTTCAACACTCCTGATTTCAACTGTATATCTAATGCTACAGCCTTTTCTTATGCTGAAGCACTGTTTATTTCTTATCCAGGCATAGTGTCTATGTTGCTAAATTTAAAAACTAAGGCATCCTGTGGTCCTGATAACATACCAAACGTATTTCTACGACGATATGCTTTATCTCTGGCAAAGTTTTTGGTTATTATTTTTTGCTGTTCTTTGTTGTCTTCCCAGCTGCCCAGTGACTGGAGGACAGCCCGTGTTGTACCCATCTTTAAAAAGGGGGACCGCTTAGCACTAGGAAATTACCGTCCAATCTCACTAACTTCACAAAGCTGTAAAATTACTGAACACATCATAGCTACTAGTATAAACAAGTGTATTGAAGAACGCTCTATATTAACCATGTATCAACATGGTTTTCGAAAAGGATTACGCACCGTAACTCAACTCGTCACACTGTTTCACTCTCCTGCATTAAACATCGATAGACACGGTAGGACAGATATGCTCTTCTTAGATTTCTGCAAAGCCTTCGATAAAGTTCCCCATAGTAAACTCATTTCCTAACTTAGAACAATAGGTATACCCGAAATATTCGTTTGTTGGATTTCTGCGTATTTAAATAATCGCGAACAGTACGTTGATGTAGGGGGCCAATATTCGGACTGTCTTCCGGTCACATCGGGCGAACCACAGGGCAGTGTGTTAGGCCCTTTGCTTTTTCTATTGTATATCAATGATATTGTTGATGTTATTCACCCTAGTGTGGAAATAAGATTGTTTCCAGATGATTGTGTTTTGTTCAAAGAAATACGTTCCACTAATGATTTCAATGATCTGA